CTTCATGTGTGCTCCCTTGACGGCGGAGAACTGACCCGTCGCTTTTTCACTTTTTCACCTGCATCCCTTCTTTTCATTCTTTGGGCAGCAACATAATTAATGTTGACTTGTAATTTGTAATGTATTTGAAGTTGTGCTACAAATACTTTGTTGATCATGTGTGTATTTATTAACTAGTCCAGTACTATGTATTTATGAAGTTAATTTGAATCATTTGCAATCGGGTCTGAAATTTGGTTGGAAAACGCGATTTCAAATATGGCGGGAAATTTTAAATTCAAAAATTTGAAACTGATTTTCAGAGGCGGTTCAATTTACCACCCCTAAAAATACATTTTCAGAGGCAGTTGCATTGCAACAGCCGTCCTTGAAAAAATATTTTCTAGGACGGTTGCATTGTAACAGCCGCCACTGAAAATGATTTTATAGGGGCAGTTCTTGTATTTTAGCCGCCCCTGATAATGTATTTATAGGGGTGGTTGATGTATTGGAACCGCCCCTGAAAATGTATTTTCAGAGACGGTTTTTCTACTGCAATTGCTCCTGAAAATACCATTTTTAGGGGTGAATTTTCTAATGGAACTGTCCATAGAAATGCATTTTCAGGGGCAGTTAAAGCCCATCACGGGAGACGTCCCATCTTTACAATCGGTGACATTGTAGCGGTTGGACAAACCGCCCCTGAAAACCTATTTTACCCGCCTCTAAAGATGTTTTCGGTAGCCGTGACTAGAAGGTTGGGACAGTGATAAGTGATTCCCGGCACTTGTCTCTGTTGGTAGTGTCAGTGTGACGATCCCAACACCATGAGGAGACTTGGTGACTGAGAGCATAGTTCAGTGAAAATACAACATGGACTAGAAGTTACATTTTGGCAACCACTACCATGAGAAAGAAAAATCGTTTCTTGCCCTCTCTTTCATTCTTTCACTACTTGCTTGTCATATAAGATTAGTATTGTCCTCTTATTTGCATGAAAGAAATTTGTGCGACAATTAGGATTTCTTTTATGCTAGAGTGTGCTTAGCTATAAAGTTTATTTTCACAACTATGGACCTTATTTAGCGTGCTCTTTTGCTAACGATATGTTTAGCGTGATGTCCCTAAGGACTTGATCTTGTCTTTTTTGGTTCTTGGACTAGAACCACACGGAGGGGTGAAATAGAATTGTATAAGCTAAGATTTATCGCTTTTAAATATTTACTGTACATCCCAATTCAAAACCCAACTTTTGAGGCCAGCTGGCCCTTTCAATGTTGATATCATTAGGTGAAATGGACATCCAGAAAAAGTATACAAAATTCAAGGACCTTTAGAAAAATATATTCTAATTCTAATATAATTTTAGGCTTATGTAGATGGCCATTACACATATCTTTCAATGCAATAGGGCTTTTTTAAATTTGAGATGGATTATTGGGCTTCAGATGTGGGAGGGCTGCTTTTTATGTAGCTATTTTTTAACACAACCTACGATACCTTCATTTCTAAGAGTCTCTTTGAGTTTCTTTTAGGGCACCTCCAATAATAAAAGTTAGATACAGAATCTTAGATGTCATCTCTTAATCATCATGTATGTTCACATGTAAGGTGTTCTTTATTTATATATTCTCTCTTCTATCGAGAGAGATAGAGAAGCATCGACATACAAAGAGCTGAGCTCTTCTCTTCTCACTGTCTTAAAGGTTTTTAACCTCTCTTTTCTTCGTGTAGCATCTAATACTAGCTTAGAACTAACCATTAAAGATGCCTTTAGAGAAGTGATTTAAGATATACTCCTCCATTCCAAATTGTAAACGTTTTAGATTTTCTGGACACGTAGCTTTTGCTATGCACTTAGATATATAATACTCCCTCCGTATAGGATTTAGAAGTTGTTTAAGACATGATTGTGCTTACCAAGGAGTGATTAATTAGGGGATATTTTTCCCTATCTGCCCCTATTAAATAGGGTTACGGGTGCATTCCAGACGAGAAAGTTCCTTAGCTCGGACGGTTAGTGCATCGAGGTGTAAGTCCAGCGACTCGAGTTCGAAACTCGATGGACGCATTTTTTTTTTTCTGTGGCTTGATTTTGCATGGCACTATTTGCTGCGTGGCGCTTGCACTTTGGCTGCATGGCTCGGTTTTTTTTCGCGTTTGCCGCTGGGGGTGGCGCTTGCGTTTGGGCAGTTTCTACGCGATTTTGTCGTTCGCACTCGCGGTAGGGAGGCACTCCAGCGTTCGATTTTCGCCGTTGGCGCGAGTTCAGCCGCGATGAGGCGCGTTTAGCCTCGTTAATTTGGTTTGTTTTTTGCGTTTAAGTGCACTGGCGCTCGTTTTTCCCACTGTGCGCACGCTCAGCATGTTGGCTTAGCAGGTCCGACGCCTCGTTCCTTGGTTGATCTATTTAAATGCTCAGCAGGTCCGACACTTCAAGTGCTTCATCCTCCCTTGCCTTCCTTGCTTGCTTGCTTAAACGACATGGCTTACCTCTTCTCCACTGCAATGGCCAAGAGAAGATGTGGGCAAACCAATCTTCATTCAACAGGATAATGCACCTTCCCACTTAAAATTTGATGATCCGCTTTTTTGTGAGGCTGCTAAGCAAGAAGGATTCGATATTCGCCTAATTTGTCAACCAGCCAACTCTCCGGATTTCAACATTCTTGATTTGGGTTTTTTTCGAGCTATTCAAGCAATTCAATACAAGAAGAATGCAAAAACAATAGAAGCTCTAGTTCCAGCAGTGCAAGAGGTAATTTGATCAAATTGTTCACACATGTTTCAATGTTTTCTTCAACAATAAATTTTCTCATTCATTCATTTCTTGCACAATTGTTTTGTAGGCATTCTTGGAGTACTCAGCACACAAAGCAAACCGAATGTTTGTAACACTACAAAATGTTTTGATGGAAGCTATGAAGGTGAAAGGATGCAACAAATTCAAGATTCCTCACATGAAAAAAGAAACATTAGAAAGAGAAGATCGGCTGCCATCTTTTATCCCTTGTGATCCATCTTTGCTAGATGAAGCCGAGGCTACTCTTGCTGCATGAAACAATTAGATTGATGCTAGTTAGCTTAATTAGTAGAGACATCCTTGTACAGTTAATTAGAACTAAAACTAGTTATCTTACCGATGCTTTGGCGTCATCCTTTGCCGGCAGCAGATCCTTGTAATGCTGGATGAAAAGCTCGTAGTCGAACTCGTCGAGGCTGTGAAGCATGGCGCGGATTATGTATTCCACGTGGACGAGACCGCAGCGAGAGCATGGCCAGAACCGCGAGTGCGCACGATTCCATGCTTGGCGGTCCTCATGGACGAGATGACAATGAGCGCATAGAAAAGAGCCCGGCGGCAAGGAATCCAGCACCATCTCCGAGTCCAGCGCGAGCTCCTGCAACTCCGGCGTGATGGAGTCCGGCGCCATCTGCGATTCCGGCACCACCTCCATCTTCGACTCCGGCGCGACGACCTCCTCCGGCTCCTGCGACTCCAGCGCGACGACCTCCTGCGACTCAAACGCGATGAGCTCCTACGACTCCGGCGCGATCTCCTCCGACTCCTCCTCGGCGAACTCCTCCAAGTGTGGCACGACGTCCTCCACGGCGAACAACAGACGCGACGACGGACTTTGCGGCGAGCAGCACCCGCGCCGCCAGACTACACGGCGAGCAGCACCTGCGCCCCCGGACTCCATGGCGAGGAAGCGAAGGCAAGCCCTAAACCCTAGGCCGCCGGACTCCACGACGAGCGTTCGGCTGGAGAGGAACGAGTGGCTAGCGTGCTGCGGAGAGGAAGGAAGGCGAGCATGCTGCGGATAGGAAGGAAGGCGGCGCGTGATTACTGCCTTGACGCGGCGCTATTAACATGTGGCTGTTCGGGAGCCGGAGCGCGTGCATGAAGGGGCAGCGGCGTCCAAAACTTTGCATGAGCGGTAGAACAACTTCCTTTCCTCAACTCTGATTATGCGCTAGAACGACATCTAAAACCTATACGGAGGGAGTATGTCTAGATATATAATAAGAAACAATATATCTAGAGAAGACAAAACGTCCTCGTAGAAACCATCCTCGTAGAACGGAGGGAATAGCACCTACGAACCATCCTCGTAGAAACAAAAAGGTGCAATCAAAATGTAAAAAAAAGTGCAGTCAAAGAAAACTCCTTCCGTAGCGTGTCTATGCCTACGTTTGAGCTCACTAAGGTCTTGTTTGGATGTATGTGTATCTACTTCAATCCACATGTATTCGAGTGGATTGAAATGAAACTTAGTTTAATTCCACTCCAATCCACTTCAACACGTGTGGATTGAGATGAATACATGCACGTCCAGACAAGACCTAAACCTAGTATAGTTTCCACCAGATATTTTCTCATTATTGTTTTAGGCCTGCCTCGAGCAGTCGAGCCTATTTGGACAATGGTTATGTGAGAGCTAACCTTCTTGAGGCGTAAGTGTGTAGATGTATTTCCTTTGTCCTGAATAAATTAATTTCTAAATTTATTTTAAGTCATTTTTGAATTTAATCAAGTTTATAGAAAGATATAACAATATTCACGACACCAAATAAACAAATTATGAGATAATTCATAGTGTATCTAATGATATTAATTTGGTGCCATAAATGTTAGTGCTATTTGCTATAAATTTAGTTAACTTAAAATGTTTGATGCATGACAACTTTAGAAATTGATTTATTGAACGAAGCTAAATCCTAAATAAATACATCTTACATTTTCATGACTCAACTAATATCAAATTTGATAGTTACGTTTAGAGTATAAATTTAGTACGGTAAATCTAGCCTACTCTGTCCCAAAATAAAATAAATCTATATCTTACATTCTCAGAAGAAAACTAATATCAATTTGATAATTTAAATTATAATTAGTTACTTTTTAAGATACGAAATGTGCAATTATTTTGGAAGGAAGGGAGGAAGTACTATGGCTGTGAGGTGTGTCATGTGAGGTGTGTTACGACGCTCCTGACGCCGCTGCCTCCCTCAACCCTATGCGGCCGACCCCGGCGCTCGCCGCCGGCGGACGCACGGTCGCAAGCTTCCTATCCGCCACGGAATGGATGCTTCCGTCTCCGGCCACCCAAGTCCACACCATCTCCGTCCTTCCCTCTCGTCCCGAGTTCACCTTCTCCAACCTCACGACGTCGCTCAGGAATGGCGGCGGCAACGGGGGAGAGACTGGCAATTCTAAGTTCCAGATAGTACGGGACGACCTCCTCCACCCGCTCGCCAATGGCAACAAGGCGCGCAAGCTCGACGCCCTCCTGCCCGTCCTCCGCCACTGCGGCGCTACTGACATCGTCCGTCCATCTCGTCAGCCCTTTTCCTCATTTTGCATCTAGTTTTGTGATATATTGGTAATTCTCACTGTCCCCAACTCCCAATTGCAGGTTACATGTGGGGGTTGCCAGAGCGCCCATGCCGCAGCCGTCGGTGAGTCCCATGCTTCTCTAAATTTACTTGTTGAATTCCAGTGTATCCCTGCAAATTGTATGCTTGAATCGCTCGTACCATTTAATATAGATTAGGTGATCTCCCCGCGCGCATTGCTGTGGGAATTAAAATGTAGTTCAAATGATTTCTCTATGAAAGAAGAGGCTAAAACCAAGCTAATCTGTGTGGTGTATGAATGAATAAAAAGTGTATATGCCTGCACGGTGGCTGTAAGAGATGATGTTGCTTCATGAGGATTGAGCTTTAGTAGATTGCTATTGGACGTGGTTAAATGAGATGGAATATAAAGAAATATGAGATAAATGGTGGCTAATTTGGGTGATGTGGCTTCATGAGGATTGAGCTTTATAGCAATTAATAATGATTGCTAGTGGCCTCCATCTGTTATAGATATAGATATAGATTTGTGTAATGTACATGTGTTTAATGCCAAACTTTGTTTTTGGATGAGCTTTTTTATGTATGTTTTTTAGTTTCCCTAACAATCTATTTTCTCTCTATGTATCAGCAGTTCATTGTGCCGAATGGGGAATCAGGCCACATATACTGCTGAGAGGTGAGCAACTGGATGTTCCCACAGGGTATAATCTGATCTCATTGATGTTTGGCAATGTGACATATGCCTCTCGGTCTTTGTATGCCCAAAGAGATGAGATGCTTTATGAGCATGCCATAAAGGTTGCAGGATGTAGTGGCACAGTGATGTGGGCAGATGAAGTTATAGGAAAGGATTTGGGTGTAGATGAGGACACCACTGATCGAAATGGTTCAAGAAGAGTAATGATTGTTAAGGAAGGGGCAGGTAGTGTTCAAGCACTGCTTGGTAAGAAGGGATTCTTTTTGGCTAGTTTCCATTTTTCATTCATGGTTACACATGATTTTCTACTGCCAATAAAATAAAATAATTTGATAGGCTCATATTCTAATTCATACATCTTTGACTGGTTTCACTTCATCATATTCAATCTGTGTTTCATCAGGACTGAAAAATTAAATTCTGAGCATTAAGATCAGTATCATCAAGTACTTTGCACCAGAATATGTTGATTTCTTATGTCTATTCTGAGATTTGTAAAAGGAAAACTTTTACTGAAGCTTGATAGAGAAAGTGATCATGCTACTTTTCACATGATTTATTCTCTCTTCAGGTGTCATGCGGCTACTGGAGTATCTTTCTGGTTTGACATTATTTGGAAAGGATGAGAAAGTTCATATCGTGGTAGATTCTGGAACAGGCACAACAGCTGTGGGGTTAGCTCTTGGTGCGGTATGTCTAGGGTGCGTTTGATACAAATACCTGCACATGCTGAATTACAAAAGTTGCGGAAATAAACAATCAGTCATAAATTTGAAAATGCCCCATTCTGTTGTGTTGGGAATTTGAAACTGTCAGTTATGATTTTCATCACCAAATCACCTAATGTTGTTAGTGCTATTCTCTCCATATATGCATCTTTGCTACCTATCACATCTCATCTAATTCTCCTACATGCAGACTCCAGTGGAGGGTTACCGGTGTTATGCTTGCTGACACACTTGAAAGATATAAACAACGAGAGAGATCTCTTGTATCTGATTTTGAGAAGGTTTTCCCAGAAATCTACCATGGAATAGTGGAAGATGCTACTCATGACAATCTAGTTCAATGGGTGGAGCGCTTCTCACCTAGAAGGTATGGTTTATTAAAGTGCATATACTGCATTTCATTACTTGGTACCCGTTTGCCAAAGGATGCTAGTCCAGTTGGTCTAGTCACTCCAAAGGCACCCCCAGGTCCTGAGTTCGAACCCCGGCTAGGGCGAATTTCAGGCTGGGGTAAAAAAAAAACCCCTCGCTGCAGAAGTCAGGGTTCGGGGGGTTTTCTCGGTCGGAGACTGGGAATCTTCTCCTGTCAAGTCTTTTCCGACCTGTGGACCGTGTGTGTGCGCCTTGAGTGCCGCACGGCCCAGGTCCGGCAGGCGCCTAATACCATGGGGGTGGTCTGTACCCCACCGGCCGAGTTTTTACTTGGTACCCGTTTTGTTCAAAATCAGTGAAACTTCTCAGAAAACTGATAAAGAATCTTTTTTGCTGCAATAAAGTTTCCCGAAGCTCCAAACTTGTATGCTTTACAGTATAAAGGTTGCTTGCTGATGGCATGCTTGGTAGTTCTGTAATTTGTGGATAGCATTCAGGATTCAGCATATTCAGAACCAAACTCTAATGTCAGAGGATAACATTCAGTATTCAACATATTCAGAACCTTGTGATTTGTGGGTATCCATCTACTAAATTGTTTCAGTGGTATCCCGATTGTGATCAAGGATATCCATCCACCTTCTCTCTAGAGGAATGAACATACAATGCAACGTATTTCAGTGAACAAAACAGTAATTTTGATACTTTGAGACACTGGTACTAATAACTTGGACTTACTCTTGCACTGAACTATCAATACCTTTCACCTTTTTCCTTCAGATTTGGCAAGGTGCTCGATGGTGAAATCGCAATGTGCCGCCAGGTAGCTCAACAGACTGGTATCCTGCTGGATCCGATGTACACCTTGGCTGCCTGGGAGCAAGCTGTTGATCTATGCTGTGGAGACAGTGCAGCCAAAGTCTTGATGATCCATACGGGTGGCACCCTTGGCCTTTTTGGATTGGCACAAAGGTATTCAACACAGTTCACCACAGGCGAACAATCTTAAGCAGGCCAACGTTGATGTGCAAATGTTACGGTTTGTGGGTATGGAATGTGATCTTTGACTTTGAATAATCAAAAGTAGAAAGAGCTGTTTTTCCCTTGCGGGGTGCGCTCCCTTTGTAAAAGGGTTATTGGTCTTGATATTGATTTGGAAGCTAACATCACGATTTGCGTTGAAAATGGCCTTGTGCTGTGGGCCTCTGCGACTTACATTTATGGTTCATGAGTCATGACCACTACTTCCACTTTTATGCTGATGAGTGATGACCCATAGCGATCGTTCTACATTGGCTCACTAGTTTGGTTCTGAACCTGGTAAAGCTGCCTGGGCCAGGCAGCTCCCCACGCCACGCTGCGAACCAAACACGCTGGCACGTCGGCTTCGAGGAGTGGTTAGCCACCCTGGGTCGGCCAGTGTTGTCGTCCCTTTGTCGCTCGATGTGTTCAGAAAAGCAGCAACTGGCTAGGACTTAGGGCGAAAAGGCTCTTCGGTTGGGAGACAAGTTGGCTGGTTATTTTGTTTTAGCTGCGGATCATGAAAAGGCCGTTTATATAGATGTGGATTCAAATGGAAAAAGTCTATGTAGCCCTCTAACCTATGCTGCTGAGGACAGCCCCAACGGGGGCATACGTTTGTGATCCTGGGTAAAAAGGTGCTCTCCACCTAGACATACGTGAGATGAGGATAACAGGCTCCCATCGCTGAAGAACGCTGCCTCTTTTTCTCTACAGCATGCATGTCGCTTTCAACTCCTCCTCCACTTTTCTCAGAGTATCTCTCCTGGAAAGCGTGTGCGCCAGACCAAGCCAACGACGCCTCTGCAGGCTGCTCTGTACATCTGCGAAGCTACTACCGCGCATGACATGGAAGCACTATGCTTACCGCGTTACCGCGCATGACATGGAAGCACTATGCTTACGGCCTGTTTGGCTAGTATTAAAGTTGACTAAAACTGATTTATTGTAAGAGAAAAATATCGTAGATTCTAGTTGATAAACCGGCTGATAAGTTCAAGCAAACAGACCCTGTTGGGGCATATATCCATTGTGGATGGGGCATCGGGGAAGGCCTGACGTCTACTACACTACACCCACTGAACTGTAAAACCACGTATAGAGCACCCCAAACTTCACCAAACCTGACATTCAACCTCTTCCAGTGGTTTTGGCTATCGGTTTTGCTAACGTGGCGGTTCAACCTGGCTCACTGGGACATGTTGTGCTCGGGCGCACACATCATGCCCAACGCACCAACTAGGATAGTGGATCCACCATGCCACGTAGGAATTGATCTGACTTGGAGGTAAGAGAAGGAAAAATAGTAGTTTACAGGTTGCCAGTAGTACGTGCAGAGGTATCCATAGCCTCAAGAGAGCAAGAGAAAAGATAAAAATCTGTTGCATTGCTTACTTTTTCTTTACCTACCCATGTGGTTTGCATTGTAGCATTGCTATCTCATTAGTGGTTTGAGAATACATGTCATCTTCTGTCTTCTCTCTTCTAAGGTCACTATATGCTTGCGATGGACATGGCCTAATAGCAGAGAGAGAGAGAGAGAGAGAGAGAGAGAGAGCTTGAGTCAGAAGCCTAAAAGATGCACCTCAAATAAATCGAATAAACAGGCCCTTAGCCTCGAGGTGAAGTGCTGAAGCTTGAACTTGATGCTGGTAGCAACAGTTCTTTTCTCTCTCTTTTTTCACTTTTGACCAGAACCTGCGGCAGCAAGCATCTCCGGGTTTATATCCGTAGAATGCGTTTATGTGCATGTTTTAGTGAATATTCAATCTGTCTATTCATTTTCTTGTACTTTACTCTGGAGCGGTTATTCACTAGCAGCAAAATTCTTTTAAACTGTTACAAGGTCGCATGCGCACTGCTACTATCCTGTCAGAGTTTGGACGATTATGCTCAAACTCAAGTGAAGCAAATTTTAGTTGAAATGGGTGTTTACTTCCAAATTCAGGTATAGTAGGCATCTTAGCAGTACAGTTGATCTTTTAGACTTGAACAGCCTTTTTTTTTTGCTTGGTACGCATTCACATAAAACGTTAGTAGTTACATTTTCCTTTGAGGATGATTATCTAGACTGCTTTGGCGATCCGGATGTCATCGGCAAGGCAAGTTACTACACTTCACTATGGTACCAATACCATCAAAGTGCTCTGCGTTTCATGGAACTGACATTGAAGACTTCAAGTGTTCCTGACTATTTGTTCAAGCATTTCAGCGTGCTGATGACAAGCAAAAGGACTTCTTATTCGTAAGGCCCATTGGCTAAGTTTTCTTTATATAATTAGAACTCACTATCTTAATATTTGTGTGCCATTCACAGGAAAATTATGGGAAATCAGATCCAGCTTGTGTAGCAGAAGTGAAGGCTCTGTACAAAAGAATTGGGTCTTGAGGTTGCTTCGATCTCTTTTTTACCTTTGGATTTTATCTTCGGTAGTGTTAGCGCTCGGACGTTTGGACGGACGCCCGCGTTCGAACGCCCCAGCGCTGCACTCCGTTTCGCGCTCCACGCGGGGCACATGTCGCCTGAGTGATAAGAGGGGAAGGGCGCGAAGCGCCTCCGATTTGGAAGGACCCGGTGAAACAATCCCGATTTTCTCGAAGGGAAATCCACATATTTGAAGTATAACGTGATAGTCCGAGGCGATCATCCCATCACATTATCAAATATCAGTTAATATCACAGTCATACATCGAATACATGTCTTAAGAAGAGTACAAATAGCAAGGTTTACTCATTATTACATCGCCACTTGGCGGAATCACTCAGAGCATGCAGCATCCAGAACAGCATCAAGTAGAAAGGCAGCAGGCATCGACACCATCTTCTCGAAGCAAACTTGAGCACAGGAACAAGACCTCTAATCCTCCCATCCGTCTCCTTGGAAGTCGTACTCAGACTCGGAACCTGCCAAACAATTATCAGTACGATTTGTACTGGCCACTGGCTCCCATCCTATGCTTTGCGTTTGCTTTGTGGTAATAGAATGCAAGGGTAGAGCAAAAGACCTATTTGTGGCTGTAGTTTCCTATGCGGGTATGTCAAGTTTTAATAATAATTCATCAAGTTTTAACCCATCTCATCCACACGTTCTCCCATCCCATCACACACATCTCACCACTCTCACACTCTCTAGCGGCAAGGACAACTCCCTCTCGTATCTTGCCTTATCGGCTAACAGCTGAAGTCCAACAAACCCGGGGGGAGAGAAGAAAGGACTCCACTCACTAATCAAGGAAAGCGTAGGTCATAGGAATGTCCATATCCGAGGACGCGGCCATACGTATAGACCAATCAACTCTGTAGAGCGTGTACACCTAGAACCACAAGATCACCATCATCGGCGGTGCCCCGCCTAGGCTGATACCGACTGCCTCCCAACCGATATGGTGCCATCCTACCACACAGCCCTAGGCCACCCCGGAGTCCACCGACACACTAAGACTGTGAGACGTAGTACCGGGCCCCCAGAGGTCACTACGCTGTCTTAGGAGGGTGTGGGCCATATGCCCGTACCTCCCTACACTATCCACTTCCATCCTAGCAGTAATGGCACCGTCTTAGTTGGTCGGGTAACCGTCCCACGCCCATTTAGGAGCGAGTGGTGTGTACGTAGGGTCCTATGATCCGGTTCTCTCGACATACCAGTCCTTAGGAGGACCGAACAGGATGTCTTCAAAAAGGGGATAACCAACACCCCGTGCCTCGACGGCACCTCCATCCCATGGCTTCATCCCACAAAGACACTCCAACCCAGGATCTCCTCATCTCACATGCACCCGCCACATGTACCTCTCATAGGGGATGCCCAGATCGCACCCCCCAGCAAGACTCGTCCAACGACTCATCATAAGATCCTGTCCGATCGACTCAACCCTCACCACACATTCAAGACGCACGCCAAGATCTCCCCGGTTGTTACCACATTATCGACACCAAGTGCCTTAACCACTCACAACAATCCTCCACCAAGCATCGCATCATAGATATAATGCATAATAGAAGCAGTAGCAAGTAAGTGAGAATCTAGCCTAATAGCGGGTGTGCAGGGGTATAGGTTGCGACAAGGTAATGGCTCACAAGCAAATCTACCATGCAACCTATCACAAATCATTTGCATGAAAGTAAAGCACCATCATCTACATTATAGCATGTCTAATAGGATTCTACGAGGTTGGGTAAGACGTGGCACCTGGCAGTTCATCTCCAAGCTCCTCAGTGTAGTCAGGGTCGTGATCCTTAGTCTGTGGCTCCTCCGGGTCTGTCAAACAAGACATATAGCCGCGATAAGCGACTCCTATAGATGATCACAAAGAAGCAACAGAAATTCAAAAGATCCAAATGCACTCAAACATAAGCCTATGACGTAGAGGTCATTTTTAGAAAAATTTGGACTCTGGTTTCACATTTTTCTGAAGTTGTATGGATTTTCTATGAATTTTCTAAGTTTAAAACATATTTTGAAAAAGAAAAAGAATAGGAAAATCCATAGGCTGACACGTGGCGCTTCCTGATTGGCTCGTGGCTCGGCAGAGACTGATAGGTGGGACTAGATCAACGGTCAACAGTCAAGGTCAATGGTTGACCGGGCTTGGCGGGCCGGATATTGGGCCGGGTTGGGCTGGGCCGAGCCCAGACACATGTCGGCTCCACGATCATCCATGTGGCATGTGTGGATCGCCACTGGGCTGGGTTCACAGACGCGGTTCATGGTGGACTGCGTGGCTGGGGTCCCTAAACCACAAGCAAGGTCCACGGTGGACCGCGCCCACTCCTTCTCTTCCTTATATGGCTCACGGTGGACCAAGCACACCGAACGTGGAGGCGGAGGTGCAATGGCTCCCTCCTCTTCCTTGGTCGTCTCCTCGCCGGTGGCGAGCTCATGGCGCTGCGCACCAAGATGGCTCCGTGAGGCCACGAAGGGGCTCGTCGACATCACGGGCTCGATACGAACCCACCGAGGGGTTAAAGGTGGTATCTTGGGGCTCTCTCCGGCCAACGTTGGCTCTATGGTGGGCAAAGATGGCATGGGATCGATGTTAAGGCCTTTCAAGGCATTAGGGATACTGTATCGGGTTCCGTCGGCATCGCCAAGCTTTGGTGATCCTGACTAGGGCGCTAAGTGCGGCTATGGGGCTTCGCAGCGGCGGCTATGGCGGTGGCAGCCCTAGCGGACGCGGTGGTGCTACAGGCGAGCATGGCCGGGGCAAAAA